TCTTTTGATATTTAATAAATTAAAATAATTTAGATGCCTAAATTATGAGTAAAACTAAATGACATTTTAGTCAAAAGACTATGACTAAAACAAAATCAAAATTTGCTGACAAAATTAATATTTGCCTTAAGTGAAAAAAAGACTGTAGAGAATCTTAAAAATACTGGCAGCTCCCAGTGCTAACCCTGCCCTGGTAAACAACTTAACCTGTCAATGTTAGAAAAAACGAAACAAATCTCACCCATCATGTGCTTGACCTGTTTGAACTGTTAAGGAAACCTTATTGATCCATTAAAACACAAACAGCACGTGACTCATCAACAGTTTTCACCTTAAAGCCATTACAATCGTGAACACTGAACTGAAAAAACACATACAACACAGGCAACAATTACGGGAACAATCACAATGTGCACTTTGATGGGCTTTTAATGTGCAGTAATGGTCTTTTTTAAAGTATACAGTGACAGTGAAAGTATGATAAAGTAGAAATACTGGAAGATTGTGATCTATGCCATGAGTGCATGACTGGAATGAGCTGTTGTATTATTTATATACTACAATGTAATTTATTCATATTATTAAATTCACTGATCACTGTCTCATTTTTGATTGCAGCTGAAATGTGTTGAATACCTTTTGTCACCATGACAACAAAGAGCAAAAGTAGTTGTTATACATGTACAGACCACGAATATGGAGTCCAGGGTTTGGTGTTGTAGGGTAGACTGATCACTGGGAACCTCTGAGCTCTCCTTGTCCACTCTGTGGAGGAATCATGAAGAATTAATTCAAGCACATAGTTGGAGAAATTCACCAATCCAGTGGATCCTCAGAGTTTTTAAAGCTTTAAATTGTATCTCACTTACAGTAGAAATGTTACATCTTTTCAATCATAACCTCCTGATACTGTTGACATAAAGCTGAATCCTAATCAGGATCACTGAGAGTAGAAGTCAAGTTATGATAATTTTTTTTCTAGCAAGAGCATAAATCAAGCCCTTTTTAGGATTAAAACCTGTAAAACATTTAGTAGAGGAGGTAAACCATAAAAATCAGTTGTGGTGGTGTGTGGTTGATAGCTTGGCTGCAAGGGAGGACTGGAGCAGTGGGTTTTAGGTGTGGTGTCAGGGAACACTGATTTTTGCAGCCGAAGAGCATCATCTAATCATGCATTCCCTATTTCAGTAGTAGCTGGGGCCAGAAAGGGGATAGCTGATCGGAGGTGCTGAAACTGAAGCAGCTGGCAGCGTAGTGTAGAGAGCAGAGCGGAGTGCAGAGCATGGCAATGTGTTAAATTGAAATCCAATAAAATAAAAGCCCTTGCGAGCGTTAGCATTGTACCGGGTCCTTTGTGTTTACAAGTGGTGGTGAAACTCAGGTTACTGGCATGTTGAAGCAATGACAAATTCAGCCGGTGGAGGCACTAACCAAGATGGTGTCCGAGCTGGCTGTGAGGAGTGAGCTCTCTGGCTGCTCTCGTTGCTTTCAGGGGAAGCCCAGGTGGCAGCGCTGAGCCTCCCAGCAACTGAGTACTTTCCGTAGATGAGAAGAGCAAAATTGACCGGTTAGGGCTTCTCCCAGTCTGCTTCTGGGAGAATTGAATGGGGGCAGAGAACTGGTGTTTTGCGAATACCAGGTGGCTGCATAATGCCACAGTCAGGTGGTTACAGCCTGACCCCATGTTGGGGAGATGCAGCTGTTTAACACTGCTTTACTTGAGCAGTTCGTGGAGGGGCTCCTGGTCAGGACGGCAGAGTGGGTCCATTGCCACTGGCCAGTGATCCTTAAGGCTGCGGCTATTCTGTCCAAGGACAACCTGGCTAGCGGCTAGAACATCAGCAGAGGCAAAACCAACTGGTCCTGGCCCCACAATGAAGGGTCCATGGGCCACCACCACCACCAGCATGGCTCATGGCGAC